AGGCGAAGCCTCTTCACTTCGTAAGTCGATTAATGCTATCTAATTTAGCTATCGGGTTATATTAACATGTAAATGTTATCGAACATTATATCAAGTGTATTACATAAATGTTATCTGTCTATGTTATATGCAAGAAGACGGATGTATAACCCTTATTTTTACTATAGAAAATCTGAAGTTACCTGTCCGAATAATTATCCAAAACAATCGAGTACATTATATAAATACTATCGAAAAATGTTATCCAGTTATGCTAGAGGCGAAGCCTCCTCACTTCATGTGTCCGAAATACTATCAAAATGTAATCACTTATGTCCACTAATGTTCTTGCTAAGTTGGCGAGAATAAAACTGCAAAACATAAAACCTTTTTCCTTTCTAATTCGGAAAAAGAAAAGTAGTTAACTGGATACGAACTTTGTCGGTAAAATATATAAGTGAAATAAATATTTTTTATTTAAACAAAAGATCTGAATAATTAATAATAATAAAAAACACCGGAAACATGGTAGGTAAATGCCCAGGATGTGGATGGAGCCCTAAAACTGGAAAAACAAGAGATCTTAATAAGCATATGGATCTAACACGAAATAGACCATGTCAAGCTTTATTGCAACTATCTCGTAATACTCAGCCTATATCACAAGTAACTGTATTGGATTCCAATACTAGAAAATCAGGTGAGTCTGTTAAACAATGGGGATCGAGATTATGAAAAAAACCAAAAGAAGTGATTTATCAAGATTATCCTCAACCACAAAATTTATTTCAATGCAAACGTCTTTATGATCAATTATTGCAAGTTGATTCAGAGGCATATGTTAATGTCTCAGAAACACCTTTAATGGAAGAAGAAAAACGTGAAGAGCAAGAATTCTTTGATGAATCTGAAATTGAAGAAGCAAATTTTCAGCATGAGCTATCTCCGATGGTACAGCCAGAAATCGATCCTGAAGCTGGTCCAGGCTCTCGAACCCAAGCTTATCGTGAAGCCAGACTTACTAACTCAGAAGAAATAGTAACTCAACAAACCATGCCATCAGATAATATAGAATTGCAACCTGTTCAAGAATTGCTCAATCGCAAAGATGGATTTCTAGATTTAGATATAGAAGTGCCTTGGCCAGACCCATTTCCCAATGATGAAGAACATTGCGTAATATGGCAAAACAGAATTCAGACTGCAAAGGATATGTTCAAGGTAGATGGAGCTGAATATGCTTTCTCAACTTGGTTTGCAGAAGCTAAAGAGATAGATTTGGCCAGTATAATATTAGGAGCAGAAAATGAAGATGAAGCTATACAGGAGGTATTTTTACAATGCTTATATCGGAATTATTCAGAAGAAGAAATCAATGAGACTATAAAATTAGCAGTAGATGCTTATAGAGCATTAGAAAATGAAGATGAAGCTATATAGGGGGTATTTTTACAATGCTTATATCGTAATTATTCAGAAAAAAAAATCAATGAAACTATAAAATTGGCAGTAGATAAAGGATATAAAAACTGGTTAAAAAAAGTGGAATATCAAATAGAATCAAGAAAATTCGAAGCTGGAATGACCGAAGAATGAGCACAAAAAATATTAGATACAATTAATAATCATGAGTATTTAATAAGAGTAAAATTCATTCGAGAGGATATAGTAATATCAAATAAGGGAACAAAAAAAGGCTTTAAAATTATTGATAAATATGAACCTATTTGTGAATCAAAAAAGACAGGTGAAAAATACGTCAGGGGTGGACCAAACGTTATACTTACAAAGAAAATGAAACCAGGATTTTGGGTAGGAATAGATGAAAAATTTTTGGTTAGAGAAGTCAGTGAGCAATCTGAGATAGGAGAGCTTGATAGTAATGCGGTTATATATGGACTGTATCGAATCCGAAAACCGGATGTTAATCGATTAATGCCTATGAAAGATGGAGCACTTAACTGTGTAGCTGAACGAGTAATAGAGCATTTTGATCAAGCCAAAAAAAAACATAGGCTCACAGAAATTCGTCGGCAAAAAATAAATAATTGGGAGGAAAAAATGCGCATTCCAGGTGCTCGAGTACAAGATGTAGCAGAGTTAGAAAAAATTCTTAAACGACCGATTAAATTACTTGATATAACTCATGGGACTATATTCAATAATGGAAAGTATCGATCAGGTAAGTATGAAGAAATTGGAATAGTAGTTCATAATGGCCATGCATTTCCAAGAAACCAGCACTTTCCAAGAGATCGAATGGTCGAATATTATAAAGGTGATACTTGGGAAGCTATCAATAATGCCCTTCAAGGTTCTCAAGCAATCTGGCTTATGGGAATAGGAGATGAAAACCAAAGAGTTTCTCAATTTGTTTTAGAAGACGGCCGTACATTTAGGACATGGATAAAGCATACAGATATTATAAAAGCATGTAAGGAATTATTTGAAGACGCGGTAAACTGGCAATTTCATGAAAATATAATTAATGAAGAAAAAAAATCGATTCTTTTAAAGTCTCTCAAAGTAGTTGACTTAGCAGAGCAAGTATTTGGTGCAAACCATGCCGGAAGCCGACTTGCTAACAAAATTAATGAATGGCGTCCAATATCTGAAAAAATAAATGATGTTATAAAACAGGCCTGTGTAGAGCATGGGCATGGTGGGCGCTGGAATGCACCCGATTATCGTGTTAATGATGTCGTATATATTGATATGAAAGAATGTTATCCAGCAAGTATGCGAGGTCAAGGAGAATGCGTGCCATGGTTCAATCGATTTGGGCACCCAACACATCATCTTGTCCGAGTAGCAGTAAATAGAAAGTTACCGAAAGATGATATCACCGGATTTGCGCAGGTAAGATCTTTTAAATTTGCAACAAATATACATTCAGTGATTCCTGTCTGGTACGGAAAACATTTACATGTTAATATAACCCGATAGCTAAATTAGATAGCATTAATCGACTTACGAAGTGAAGAGGCTTCGCCT